TGCACAGGCACAGCAATGTCCTTTCACTTGACATTCCAAGTTCTTAGTTCAGCATTCCTTTCTACCATAATGGATTTGCACAGCACTTAACTGCATTCTAATTGACCAGAACTGCTAATTGTGTTATAAGTAAATTGCAGTCTAATTTTACATAGCTATAACTGATAGAACAAAAAGCCACAGAAATTAAACTTCATCAAAAGGAAACTGCACTAAACACTTGTGTGAATATTAGACTGAACAAATGTGGCAACAGACCACTACCACAACCAACACTATTTATAGAAATTAATATTTATGGCCCAAGAGAATCTAAAATAGTTTTGTAATGTGTGTTTTTGCCACATCAACCACTCTAAAATAGAATCTGTATTTCAGTTAAATGGGCAAAAGGTGAGGCTGTCAGATGACACTCATTGCAGGTATGTTGACTGAATATTTACTGTTGGTTTATTGGTGGAGCTGAAGCCCATACTTCTAATGGCCATTTTTCTACCATCATATTTCTTCCCTCTTGCCAGACCAACTATTTTATTTAGTGTGTTGTAGAAAAGTTAGCTTATTGTGCAGATAAAAGACCAAGGGTGTTCATTGTGAAGGCCTAGAACTAGGTCATTCAGTTCCCCTTCCAGATTTAATCTTCTCTCTCTTTTGCACTAATGAATCTGCAATGGAGGTGGCTTTTTACATTCTTTGGGCATTGAAATGAAAGCTGCCAGCACTTCAACCCAAGTGAAAATATGAGAAAAAGCTCTATTTAATACTGGAAAGAAAACATCTGGAGGTCCCCGTTTTCATGCTGGGTTCTTTGTAGAGATTTTGCTTTTCTAAAGCAATTGTTCACTCACACTTTTCCAAGAGCTGCATTTCAGGAGGGGAGCTGAAAATTTTATCAACCTCTCTCAATACATAACAGGGACCACATACTGCACCAGCAACATGAATATCAGGGAATACTCCTCCCTTTGTGTCCATCCCTTCTGCAATCTCCCCCATTAGTCAGTAAATCCAAAATCATCTGAGGATGTAAACTTTTACACTCACCAATGCTTAATATTATTCTCTTTGTGGCACAGCAGTGGTGACAGGCACTATGGCTCTTACCTGGAAATAACCCATAATGGTAACTTCATCAGCTTCAGCCACTGCTGAGTTTATCCCGTGGTAAAATGCCTCTGGTCTCCTCTAGGGTTTTGCTTTTAAGGGCAGGGTAACCTCACAAGCGCTTGTTTTCCCTGTGATTAAACATACCATTTTCAACAATGAAGCTAAAATCCCAGGTATGCTGTAACTTCCATGGCTAGGCATTCTCAGGAGAGCTAAAAAGTAGAGTAATGCTTTAATATTCAGAAAACCCATTGAGAAGGAACCTGGTTTTGTTATTACCCCGACAGACCCAGGCAATATTTCTCTGAAAGCCTGGCCTGGCTATAGTGAGTTCAGCCCAGGGGCTGAAGACTGAAAGCTGCAGATCCATCCCATAACATATTTTCTTCTGTCACTAACCAGCTCATGAGGTTAATATGCAGAGAGCTACTACTCCTCCTACATGCAGATAATTTCTCAGTTCATTAAACGTTATTGCATAGCTACCAGCAGCTCTTCAATTACTCACCTCTGGTTTACAACTAAGTAAGAGTAGAAATAGACATTAAACATTTTATTCCAAGGAAATTTCATGCTCTGCAAGATTATTTCAGTTATTTGGTTTTTTTGGTGGGGTTGGACAGAGAGACTAGATTTGTCTAGAATGAAGTATTTTGTTAATGCTGAAGAGAGATGCATTTATTGACTCATCAAGCATTCACATTGTTTCCAGAGTTTGTATAATGGACAGAGCTGACCAGCCCCTTCCCTCCCACCTCTTCCATCACCTTGCTTGATGCTCTCCCTCCAGAAATATAAAAATGTCAACCCTGCACCTTTTTTCCCAACTCCTTAGGAGAGTTCCTTAGCAGAAGTCTCCTGCATACACGTGGGGCCATCCCTTTTCCTGAATCCATAAGTCTGAATTTCAAATCTTGGCACAGCACCAAGGAACTATCAGGAAGTCACTTTTGCTCTCTGTCTTTCCTGCTGAAAAGGGGCTGGAGGGACAAGATCGAGGTTTGAAAAAGACAGCAAGGAGTCAGAGGAGATTAAAAAGGTGACCAGATGAACACCATTTCAGCAGGAAAAATCCCCAATAACACTGCTGATTTTGGTAAGAAGAGAGGACATTGACAACATACTAGGGAGGGATACTTGCTCCTGGTGAAGAAAGGAGCAAAATCTTGGAAATTTGATAAAATGCAAAGGTGCCTTTAAAATCACTCTAGGCCCTGCTTATCTGGGTTATTAAATGTATCCAGTTTTACTTATAAAATATTTTTTCTCAAAAATGTGAACAATTTGTGATTTTTGGATCTAACCTCCAGCATAACTCCATTCCATGCCTTCCAGAACAGTTACCAGTCCCATGAAACCTCAATTTGTCATCTAAACGACAGCCAAACCTAATTTATTTTCTTACAAAAGAGCTGATCAAGGAATCAATTTCCAGCTGGGTCTCAATCATCAACATTTTTTTAAAGCAATGCCACAAGTCCTCTGAACAACCCCTCTATTATGCAATACAAGCCAGTCCAATTCTTCAGCTGGGAGCAAACATCTTTAGTGCTACCTTTTCCCCAGTTGTCAAAATTGTTGTATGACTGCCAATTTGGGGGCAGAAATAACATTGGTTTAGATCTGTGTTCCCAGCTGTGAATCCAAATCTGAAACCTTTACTCTCTATTTTGCATTCAAAAGAAATTACTGTAAAATGACTTATGAATGGTGTCTTCCAGAATTCAATGGATGGACTCCAAAAGACCAGTTGAGCCTGGTATCCATGTTTTCCAGTATTACAGCTTCTCCTAAAGACAGATTTCTTTTCAGGATACCTGTTCACCAGGTCTACTGGTCTCAAAGTCAGCCGTGGGCTGGGTTCCATCGTGCAGCTCCTGACCTCAGGAGAGCTGCAGAGCCCAGGTTACAGCTCTCTGGTCTCTATGGTGGGAATCTCTGTAACAAAGTTGAAACCAGCCAGATCTTACCCAGCAGGTAAGAGAACCACACTTTCAGTGCTTAGAGACCAAGCTCACGACCATTGAAGTATCTTTCTGTCTTTAGCAAGGTGAGAGGAAGCCTACACAAAAATGTTATATTGATAAAGCAACTGACACTGAGTCCACACAACATTTAAAAGGGCACTACTTCAATTAAACGGATCCAATTCAATCTATTTAAATGTAATTCCAAATGGTTTTCTGATATCTAGACTGATGGGATTGGTCTCTAAGTTTTATGAGGAGTTGCTTGCAGCAGTTGCAATGCTCAAGTTATATTTACAGTTTTAATCTAGACCAGGAATGAAATCATCAAGGATTATACTCTAATCCATCTGACCTGCAAATTATTTGGCTTGGGATTCTGTATCTTGTAATGAATATGTTCCAGAATTGAATAACACATCTGCATGTCCTTTCTTCCTAGGGAACCTCTCTGCTTCCCAAACAAACAAGCCAGTTCCACTCGTTCAATTTCCTGAAAGGGAAGGCAGTGAGAGGATTAGGGAAACTTTGAGTCAAATAGAGAAATATATTTAGGTGCCCACAGTCCTACAGGAATTAATGGGCATTCAGGCACCTAAGAGACTCACTGGAGCCTGCTCTTAAGTAATATTGATAGTTTCCAAAGGTGGTGCAGCAGCAGCTGGGCTGCATCCATGCCTGGGTGTGCACAGCCACCAGTGAAGTCAATGGGAGGGGACTGACTCCAGAATCAGGATTTTGTCTGTGCTTATTTTGTCATCTCTCAATTCACATTTGGAGGCAGCTGGGAATCATGTAAGGCCTATACCATCAAACCTGGTGGTTCTGAAATTCTGTTCCTACACCCACAAACAATGCTGACTGTTCAAGTCATTTGGAGAGAAGCAGGCACTATCTGTAATGTCGCACAGTGTCTACTACCATAGGCTCCTGGTCTGAGAGCAGTTCCTAGTATTGTAACTAGCAGGTTTACCCTTAGTAGAAGCAAATAATAATTTAATTACAGTGGTATGATCATTAGTAGATCTTCCTCAGTCACAAAATCATAGCCTGTTTCCTGGCATTGTTGATAGACCACCTTTTTTTCTCTCTGAAGTAGCTCAGCCAGATTCTTCCTCACATGTAAATCTTTGTGGGGAACAGCTAAACCTAAAGATTTCTCTTCATGTGTTTTCATACAGAAAATTAGGAAAACTTTAGTCTTCATCTGAGCTCTGCACAAGTAAGAGGAGCCTCAGCTGCAGATGGCTTTGTAGCGCTTGGTTACATTTACATGTCTGAGTTAGCCTGCCATGCCTATCCAGTCAGGTATGTGGACTGGACCACCATGGATCACATAAGGCCCTCTGACTCTTACATCTTTATCACATGTGACATACTTCAATTAATGTATATGAAGGTTAAATACTGCTGTGAAGCCACTCGCCTGAAATGACCACTGTTCCTCAAGACCATGCTGAATGCAGCTGGGACCAGTGTCTCAGTAGTGTGAGCTCAGTGCCAGTTTTCTGCTTTTGGCTGCTTTGCTCTCCTTTTTTTCTATTCAAGTCATGGATCTTAGCACTTTGTTCTAGAGAGATCACTGCTCCTGCCCCAGGAACAATGAGGTGCTGCCTGCTGGCTGCAGCAGCTCTCATTATTTCACAGAACTAAGCGTCCATGGGATCACAGCATGCAGTAGGCTACAGTTGCCAGATCTGAGAGTTACAATGCAGAATGACCTGGCCTACTCTACAAGCCTCAAAAGAAAGAGGCAATAAGGCATCTCAAAAAGTCCCCTTACTTCAGGGCTAATATTTCCATCAGCAGCTAGAACTTTCCACATAGCTATCCTTAACAGAACCAGTACACCACAATACCAGGGAAAAGAAGTCATTCAGTACCCTCTTATGTTGCAGGAAATGCTATGTATGTATATTTATTTATTTATGTGGAAGATTCCCCACTGAGTATCAGCAAGTCCCCCCACATGTGAGTTGAAGATTACACTTTGGGATTAGGTTACATTTTGGATTAGAGCTTGTTCTGTAATACAGCTGCAAGGATGGCAGCAGGGAGGCTGCTGGACCCGAGATATTTATGCGTGCTACTTGTGGTTTGAGGTCTTACCAGCGATGAGATCAGGCAAGGCCTTGGGCAGGAAGGAGCCCTTACAGCTGCATGGTAGGACATTACTCTCATGGAATGTACCCTCAGTTCTGTGGGGGTGGAACCAACCAAGTTACTCCAGCAGGTGCTGGTGTAGCTTGGTTTTCTTCCATCCCTGAGCCTGGCTTACACTCCTGTACACCTCTGCAAAGACACATCCCTTCTCTAATCAGAAGGAGAGACATTATTTTAGGAAAAAAGATTCCAATTACCAAGATGTTTCTCTGGACCTGTGTCTTGGCACTGACTGCAATCACACGCCCGTGAACCAGGTTCTCACTCGATGCAAGTCAACTCCAATTATACATAACTGGCTCCAGAGTTTCAGAAACTCCAGTCTTGTGGGCACAGCGTACTTTCCAATTACATAATGTTGCAAGTCATTGTACTGTAGCTGATTCTTCACTCCTAAGAATAATAAGAATAATAAAAAAGGTTAAAGTACAAAAGGAAGGTTCAGTTTTACAAAGCTGCCTTTATCTACCTGAATCCTGCTAAGGTCAAGAGAAAGTCTGCTTCTGACTCATAACAACAGTTGAATCAAGTGCTGAATACACTTCACACTGTACAATTTCAGCTCAGGAAGGAATTGACTTCCTTAAAGATCATGTAGCAACAACTTTTATCCTTTCTTAGCAAAAGTCCTAGGTGTATTCACAAATCAGAGCATTTTTCTCTTCTATGAGAGTTTTAATGAAAGTCAATTATAGTTTTGATCCTATAGATGTTAAAAAACTGGTTTCAGCCTCCTTTCAAGAAAAAATTTCCACTGAAATTCAAATGGCTGAGCATTTGCAGAGCCCATATCCAATGGCCTGCTTCAAAGTCTTACAGCCGTAAGGGAAGGGAGCAGATTCCCAGACATTGTCCATACTCAGATTTGCTCAAACACCCTCATGGGACCAGCCAGCCTGGAGTGGCACTGGAGAGGCCCATCATGTACAAATTTCTGATTCTTAAAGGTTCTTCCTTTGAATTCTTCCATGTTTTTGAATGGCTTTGAATGGCTGGATCATCACGACTCTTTCCTGTACATGGCTGGGTCTGGCATGCAGTCACTCTCATTGCCTCCATGCACACGAGCACTGAGCTCTTCTCCACCTCATTCCACCAGACCCAAGACCATCCCTTCTCTCAGCCTGCAGAGAACTAAGTGGAGAAGGAGTGACTGTTTAAGCCCCAAAAGCAGATAATTTACTGATGATTCACCTCCCAGCACTGGCTTGCTGTCTGAGGAGGGGCAGCACTAGTTGGTGGAAACTGTGGAGATGCACTAAGGCAGGTCTGCCTCTTTCTGAGACACTTTGCCATGAGCTGACTTTCACCTGTTATGAAGCCATAGCTGCTGTTTCCTGCCTCTCCCAGTAGATTCCTTTCTTCTCTCTGAAGTGGTGCACTGGGACTCTTCCTCACACCTCTTGCACAGGGCTCTGTGGTACTCCTGCACTGAGCTAGGAGTCATCCATGATGTGCAGCTGCTGTGGAAGGGATAGGTCTAAGAACAGATTTCCAGATCCTCTACCTCTCAAGCAGAGGTAATTTGGGGAACAGTTGCACACGGGTCATGCCTGCAACCACCTGGGAATTCTACCAAATCTTTACTTCCACATTCCCCTATCTAAGCTCTTACAGTCATTTCTCCTGGCTTCAGTGTCACTATTTTCAGCATATGCTGTGTTCCAGTGACATCTAGGGATAGAGACTGAAAATTGCAAGCTGGATACTCACATAGGCATCATTTAAAACATATTTTGAACGGATAAGCCAAAAGGCTTAAGGAACAATTGTAATTAAGATAAGGTAAAAAGAATCTTGCATGTTTTGCAGGATTGAATTGATGCCCCAAGGCCCATTCCTCGACTCGTGCATTAGCATTAATTTCATAAAGTGCCTACAGAGACGTGGCACTAACTGACATAACATTTTGCTCTGGTACAAAGAATGCAAGCAAGATAAATGTATATCAGCACTAATGACAGAACACATGAAAGGGCAAATGTCATCAGGAGGACAAAAACACTTGAGGTCAAAAGATAAACAAGTTGCTTTAGTAGCTGAATCCATTATTTACTAATTTCTACCACTACTAAATTACTCATTACATTTATGTATCAGTCCCCTGATCACAGAGGGTTGCCGTGCTTGGCGATTCTGCCCTACCCAGGACTAAGATATGGGCCCTGCTCTGGAGATCTTACCTGCAGGACAAGGCAGGACCAAAGGATGGAGGCAGTAGAGCAGAGGGAACAGTGGCTCAATCTACACTGCTTTGCAGCCTGGCTTTGTGTTAGACTTCAGTTCACAGTGTTCAACAGCTTATCCCTGCAGGATCAAAGCAGAAGCAGCAGCAAGTCTTCCCACTGTGCCTTCATTTCTTTAGGGAGCACAGGCAGGCTTCCTCCAGAACATAACCAGGGACTGCCAAGCAGGATTAGACAGAAACCCACCATGTGTCTGCGTAATATCTCACATGAAAGATGCAGAAATGTGCAAGCCTACTCTTTCAAATCAGATTTTATCTGACTGTACAATCTATACCTGCTCTGGGTTTCCCCAGTAAATCTAGACTTCCTAAGTATTCACAGCCCAACAACAGAAATAATTCTGTGCTAATTCATGCCTGGACCTTTGCAGAACCTAAAAATACGTCTCTTTGATGGCGGAAGGAAATGTAGAACATATTATCAGAAGAAGGCATCAAGAGAAGTGTTTATACACGTATCAGAGGTCTGCATGTTCAAAACTAAAGTATTTAAATATGCTTACATGGACAAAAACGTGGAGAGGGTGGGGACAGAGGCAAGCTGCTGATTTTCTAAGAACCTTTGGTCTAAGCAAATGAAGCTGTGCCACCTCTGGTCCAAATTCAAGTGAACAGAAAAAATTCAGCGCAAAAGTAGAGGTCAAGTAAAATTTTGAAAAATAAAAGTCAGTGGATGCTTTGCCTGTGTCAGTACTGCAAGACACAATCCTGAGAATATGGTCTGTCGAATGCTATTAAATCCAGGGATATTTCTCTTGATTGGTGTACGTGAAGTATCTGGAAAAAAAAATCCATCACTTTGCTCCCAGCAGCCACTTGTCAGATCACCAAACCACTAGAGAAAGCACCAACCCTTTTGTTTCTGGTTTTGCCACTGCTGTTGTTTGTATCAGACAGCAGTGCTGCTCAGCAGCCAGAGCTGGTGGCCTGTCCTGGGGCAATCACAGGCAACTGCCAATTTCCTGGTGTCCATCAGAGCAGCATCAGTTGAAGCAGGCTCTCCAAAAGATTCAACATGGGGACCTGGGAGAAAGCAGTGCTTCAGGGCTGATTTAGGGAACTGAAATAAATGCAGCGGGAACTGTTCTGGGCAGGAAATGCCTCTTAGGTTAATATAAGACAGGGATCAATTTTAAAAGCCTCACTACAGAGATATAACAACTAACTCACACACTTAGAAGATCCCTACATTGTCTCTTTATGCTCAGTTGTTCAAGCTAAGCTTTCCTTTAAAGCACTCCTAAGGCCTTCCTCCTGAAAACATACCATAATGTGAATATTAGTAGCCTGTTAAGAAGATACTAGAAACTAATAGGAAACTAAAGATCACCTCCTGTGATTTAGGTGAATGTTGGCCTTGATGATTTGTGGTTTTATTCCTGTAATCTCCACAGCCAACAAATGGCAATTTTCCCTCCTCAGAGGGTACTGCCCTGAAGTCAGAATGCTGCTTTTATCAGACAGACAAAAAGTAATTAAATGACTGGAGGGACACAGTAGTATCCATTTCTGTGAGGCCAGGTCACATCCCATGACCAGAGTGCTCTGGTACTTTGAATTTACCACCAGCAACCCAGCTGTGAATCAGTCTGAACCACTAAGAAAAGTAGCCAAGAATTGGAAATAGCACAGGTCCTTTTGCACAGTGTAAACACAAGGCAGCAGATGCTGCCATGTTCAGGCTTGGCTTCAGGTGGAGGCAGCCTGAAGGGCTCTGTGTTGCTCTGCTTGGAAGCAGGATGCAAACACCTCCCTCCCTCAACCTCTCCAGAATGGACTTTTATCTTCCGTAGAGTTACCAATGGATGATCTAGTTTCAGGGTGATTTAAATCAGTACTGGAACTGACTTCTACTACCAGGACAAATGAAACCATTTGATGACCCCAAGAGATGTCTCTCCCCTCAGTGTCCCTATAAAGAGCTTATCACAAATGGCAGCGATGGGTGAAAATTCCAGCTACAGCTACTTTAAACAGAACAAAATTCACAATATTTTTAATGAAGTAAGACCACTGCTGGACAATCAGAAAGTTTCTCCATGTCACTGAAACAATCTTACTGAAAGGAAAGGTACTTAAGCACAGAAAATACTCTTTGCTCAATATTGCATGTAAGGAAGTCATACAGAATACTCACATAATTTAACTAATGTATGGATTAATTTATGGGTTACTATTTACTAAAGGAACCTGGACAGTGTTTTTGTTCTGTACCTTGAAATTCATCTCCAGATGTGCACTCTGAGTTGCAGGTGTAGGTCACGGACACTAAGATGGTGACATGTATCAGTCTGCAGGGCCATCTTCCCCCGTGTTGCTGAGTACAGGTGTGCTTACACTGATGTCTGTTCAGTCTGTTCACTGGGTGCAGCCAGGAGCCATCCCATCACAGACATTTCTCTGGTAAAGAGTAGCTAAAGGCTGCTTCCTCTACAACAGGGGCTGCCCTTCAATAGATCTTTCCAGCAGGATCCTTGGGAATAGACCATTTTAACCCTTCTTACCCCAGAATTACTGTCCAAGTCCACATCAATGCATTTCTGTACTTTGCTGGGTCTACCTAAAAGGGCAACCTTTCATTTGTGGGAGAACCATTTAAACAGCCCCAGTACCACCCCTTCCCTGGGGTCAGCTGTCCTGTGACACCCAAGGCTTGTCTGAGTGTACAGCAGGAACAGAGCTGTGCCCCTGTCTGATGGTGAGAGGGACCACAAACACCACTGAAAGCTAAATCCTCTCAGTGAGGAGCAGGACTGTTCCACTTGGAACCACATCTGCTGAATTCAGCTACCTGGAGAGCTGAGCCTGGATCATGTGTTGTGTGGGTTTTCTGATTTGGGGGGAGGGTTCTGATTTTTTTTTCTTTTTTTGCATAATCACAGCAAAGATGGGCTGTAAATAAAAATAAAGACAATAATAAAAATAACCCCATTTATTGTATACACAAGTCCTTTTAATCAGGCCCCAAATTCCTTTCAGAAATGTGCTGTCAAATTTCACAGATGCAAGATATTCTGAAAGAGCTGAAACCAAACTTAAGCACATTTCTGGCTCTGTTCTAAAATACTGTGCATTTTGCTTATTCAATAAATTAGACCAACCAGGGATCCTCTTCTACCCAAAGTTTTAGACCTCAAGCCAATCATCTTGTTTTAGAGCCACAATATTCCAGGACAAGTCACCGTATTTTTAAGTTGGTTATTACAGATTATGTTAGAAATTTAAGGGAGGAAATGTAACATTTCTGTATGAAATCAAAGCTGATTTTACAAGAGGATCACAGACATCTCTATTAAATTATGTTTATCTTCCACCAAAAAATATAATCCTCCTTAAAAACAGCATAAAATTCCATTTGTCTTAGAAAAGCATACATCAAATAACACTGGAACAATTTATTTTAAAAGACTGTTGTCTCAGCTCTGTAGCAATACAGGTTAAGACTTGTTCATTAAGAGATCAATGACAGGCACATAGCAAACTTAAAAAAAGGCAAGCCAAGTACAAATCCTCTTTTGAGACTATTTTTGTATTTTTAATCTAAATGGGAAACAGTAGGCATGAAACATCTATACAGCAAACATAAAAACAACTATGCCATTTTTCCCTTAATGATCTCAAGAGCTTTTGATCTGGCAACTGGAAAACAACCTTCATGTTGCCATGCTCAGGGGACAGATTCCTGACTGAGTATGGATGCAGAAAGTCACAGTACTTAAATACACACAACTCTCTAAGCCCACTTCCATCTCCCCAGTGGCAGCAGCACATTAGTTAGAGGAATGCTCAGTGACACCGATCAACACTGAACAGATACAAGGGACAGTAACTCTTACTGTGTCTCAGAGTCAACTGCAAAAAACACCTCCCCCTGCTTTAACAGGCTAAATATTGATCTTGTATACATTTTCACATAGTGTGAGGAACTATTGACCACTTAAAGATATAATACATGGATCCTGTACACTAGAGCCTTGCAGAAAGATTAAGGAATTAATTGCTGACTGGAACTCAAGGTACATCTGTCCTATACTGCAAAATTAGAGTGGTATAGCCTGTAGGAGTGCAGCACATCAGATAAAATTTAAAAAACCTACAAACAGGGTATGGAATTACAGCAGGGATATCTGATTACTGCCTGGCTGTAAATAACAGATGCATCTTCAGGACAACTACATACCAACTATAAGCAGGATGGCAGTATAGGAAAAAATAAGGACTTCTGCCTAATTGTTATTTCAAATATTTGAAACTTAAGCTTCAATGACTTTGCATTTTAGAGATTTATAATGGCTTTAGATGTATTTAGAGCCTAATATATCAGACTTCCAAGGATGCTTAACTAGGATTTTTAAAGATACAGAGAGAGAGAAACAACATTACAGAGGTCTTGCAGTCCAGGAATCTAAGTTAATGAAAAAAAACTTCGGATATAAACATATTTCCTAAGACAGCTTTTTTTACTAGTTCCCTCCTCCTCCTCCAAAGAAGCTCTCCAAAACAAAACATTACTCATTTAGGCTGTGCAGAAATGGAGTTCAGGAATAAAGGTTCAAGCAAAGCCACTGAAGCAATGAATAGCATGCACACACAGCCCAGGCCTTCCTCTTTTCAGAGGTTACTCCACTCAAGAATTATCTGCCCATAGTTGTGCTCCTCGTGCTCATCTCTGAGACACGGTTAGATTTAGAAGTCCATAGGTGACAGTCAAGGGCCTGATAGCTCACACAGGGAGAGGAAGTAGGCATCTTACAGACTTTAAATTACTAAATCTCATATTTTACAAACAAGAACTGCCAGTGGCATTTGAGAAGCGAGGGTTGCATTGCTCATAGCTGCATTAAGTAGATGTAGACTCAGAACAGACAAATTAGTGAATTTATTTATGCAACACCTTACTCCAAGGTATCAGCTCAGAGTCAGCTAGAGCAGCCTAATAAAACTATGCCTAAGGCTGTGAATTCAAAACACGTTTCTACATACAGTAACAACTTGAGATGAAGCCTAAGTATCACTAAGAAGGCAATCTTGATTGGTAGGTCTGAAGGATGCAGACTTCACAACATTCTAACAAAAAAAAAACTTCATTTTTTTGCAGTCTGAGCTTGGCCAGCCTCAAGTCCTACTAGTGGACTTAAAAAGAGTTTTCTATCATAAGCTCCTTTTTATTGCCTTGGCAATTATGGGCCACATCCTTCAAAATTTTTAACCTATTTTCAAATAGATGAAAAAATCAAAATGTGCCTTCATTCTGAACACAGATTTCTGTGGCAGCATTTTAACAAGTTCTTTTCCAAAGCCTTCATTTTCAGCATTTTTAAAACATAGATATGTATTCCAAGTAAGGTTAGCTTT